GCTCTCTTTCTCACTTTTTAAAAAATAGTTTTTAAGACCAGGAATTGGTAGTGCTAAGGACATGGTTCCCAGAGAATATCCTGCACCAAGAATATATGAACTAGAGCAGTGGTGGGATTCAGCCAGTCCGCACCACTTCGGGAGAAACAGTTGTTAACCGGTTGTTAAATTATTTGAATCCCACCACTGAACTAGAGTAAGTATTGTTTGCAAGATCATTTGAACCCATACCAACTAAGCAAGGTTACTGGGGCTCTTCAGGAAATAAGAATGGCTGCGATTCCTCAGTGTTTTTCTGCCTGAAGTATTTCTTTCTTCACCTACTAAAACGTTTGTCAGTAGGATTTGCAATCAACAATACAATAATGAAAATATTAGGATCTAAGGGCTATAGTTGCATCTAATTGCAAATGGTCTCAATCCAGATACTATTTTGGGGGGCATTGCCTGTTATAATAATAATCGCTTAAGCATTTCCTGTTAGCTTAGAAAAGGGATGTCACTACTGAAACATAGCATAAGACAATTTGTGTAGCCAAATTATTTTTTTCCTTTTTAACTTTAAGAAATTACCGACATTTCCTGAGGAATACATTCAAATAGTTTAATGTTGCATATATTAAATGTAATCAGATGAAATGAAATTATTTGATTAGCATTAGGACTTTAAAAGGCATACATACCTTCCACAAATATAGTCCTCATAAGTTAAGAGGAAGAAATAAAGCAATAAATGAGATATGGGGGTAAAAATATTGGCCATCTAGGAATAAAGTGATAAGGGTCAGCCTGTCAAGATTGGCAGTGTGGTCCATTATATGTCTTTCAGTTCAAAGAGGCTTGTTTTCCCACACAGCAATCTTCTCCAACGATGTGCCCATTAAGATGTACTAAGTGTAGCTCTGGCTTTATTCTGGCTTTTGAAGATCATCCTGAATCTTGATACAGTTATTCAGGGTATTTGCTATCCTCCTTATCTTGGTGTCATCTATGAAGTTGATAATCATGTTTGATTAGCATAATAACCTCGTGCATATTTTGGTGCACACAGGAACAATGATGGCTGTAGAACGGAGTCCTGTAATACTCCACTTGACATCTCATTCTAGCTTGACATGGACCACTGACTAATTCTAACAGAGTAGAGTTATTATTGTAAGCCATCACATTCTTAGACAAAAATACAGTATATTTTATTACAGTATGATATAATAATGCCCTTTGTTAGAAGTAATGGATTTTGGCTAAAGGCAAAGAGGCTATAAAACTTCTTCTCAATGTAGCTTATTGTATTTAATCTTTATCTAGACTCACAGCCTTCTCCTGGAGTGATATAGTAGGAATCAGTCTGTAGAGCTATGCATAAAACAGAATAGATATATGAGCCACAATGAAACTGGAACAGCTGAAAAGATTTTAATATTCCTGCTTAAATGCTAATTATATGGAGAAAAAGAAAAAGACAGACGGTCTTAAACTCGGATATATTGTTGCTTACTAGTATCCATTAGAGGCATAAGAAAGCCAAATGTATTCAGAGCCAGAATTGGCTGTTTTGTCATCAGCATTTGCCATTCAATGACATTTGAATGCTTTCCTCTGATAACAAAACGAGCAAAAATATTATCTTATGGATAGATATTGAGCTTCCTCACCCAGAATAAGACAAATTTAGCAGTTCTAAAACTATCAAAAACTAAGGCCAACTCATTCCCAGTCCTCCCTTCTTTTCATCTTTATTTATTTCCTTTGACATCCTCCACTGAACCTATTCTTCTACTTAGAAAATTAGGAGGGGGTAATAAAAGGGTTTGCTTAAGCCTATTCATTAGATATGGAGGCAATTCTTGCTTTAAATATCACATTTAACATTTCATAAGCCTTTATCCAGAGCATAATAATTATTCTCGTCCATTTGGGAGCTCATAGTGTTAATTAATGCTTCAGCGTTAATGGTTATGCCTTTCATTTTAATGGCCTTACATAATCCCAAATGTGTAAGCTCATACAAATGTTGATAGATTGTATTGATTTAAGATTAGCTTCATTGTATTCTGATGTAATTGTAGATATGAACATAGCAATGTAGATGTAATGTTACCGTATTTCCCTGAAAATATGACCCTGTCTTATATTTTTTGAACCCTGAAATAAGCACTTGGCCTTATTGCCATGCGCTCAAAAGCCCAATTGGGCTTATTATCAGGGGATGTCTTATTTTGGAGGAAACAGGGTATATCCAAAAGCATGCAAAGGAAAGGGGGGTGGAAAATAGACCTCTACATAGATTAGAAACTTCTAAACTTGATCAAGAAGTTCAATCCTCTAAATTGGGAATGTGAGTATCTCAATTTCTGATATATAGTATCTTTCTTTATTCTCAACTGATCACATTTTTTTAAATACTTAATAGAACATTTTATAGATAAGAAGGACAGATGTAGACCTCTGCAAAGTATTTAAGAAAAAGCTATATTCTCTCTTATTGTTTAACTTTATGCATGTCTAGTAGTCTGATAAGACTATCACTCATTTAGTAACAGTCTTTTCTCAGAAGAATGGGCAAAATGTCTCCTTTTCCCATAATTTATATCCAATTGCAGGAAGGGTTCATTTTACTTAGCAGTTATTCCTGCAATTAAACAAGTCAAGCACCCAATATGGGATTAGATTCAGACATAATCAGAAATAATCATACTTAAATTAATCAGACCTTTAATATTTTTATAAATAACTCAAGGTGATGAACGTACATAATACGCCTTTTGCCTCCTATTTTTCCCACAACAACCCTGTGAGATGGGTTGGTCTGAGAAAGAGTTAGCCCAGTGGTGGGTTCCTCCCAGTTCAGCCCACTTCTGCCAAGCCGATAGCGGTGACGATATGACATCACCGAACCAGTTCTGCCCCCCCCGCCCCCCGCATTATTCTTACCTTTTATTTGGCCCCACCCCCAATCTATTGCTGCCTCCTGAGTCCCAGCTGATGGCTAGAGGGAAAAAAACTGTTTAAACTCTTGCCGCTGGGCTTCAAAGGGCTGTCCTACAGCTGATCAGTGTTAAAAGAAAACAAATGGGTAGATCAGTGCCTGCAAAAATACATGAGTAGATCAGTGCCTGCAAAAATAAATGGGTAGACCAGTGCCTGCAAAAATACATGAGTAGATCGGTACAGCTCTGCAAGCAGTTAAAAGCCTAGTAGACCAGTACCTCTGCTAAATCCTAAATAATTGTCACATAACCATCAAGCCATGCCTACAAAATAAGCCACGCCCACAGAACTGGTAGTAAAAAAATTTACAACCCACCCCTGAACTAGCCCAAAATCATCCAGTTGACTTTCATGCCTAAATTGAGACTAGAAGTCACAGTCTTCTGGGTCCTAGATGTGCACCTTATCACAACCAGACCAAATTGGCTCTCTGTGCCTGTTGATTCATTGGTTTCGAGAATACTGATGCCTTCCCTGAACCCAGAGTTTTAAATATGATTATATAGCTTTTGTCAGAAAGCTGATGACAAATAATAAAACTAATAATGGCACCATAGTTCATCATTCTCTTGCTTGGCATAGGAATAGCTCCAGAATTTAATATCTGTATTATAGCTAACTTAAGTTCTACTTTTTCAAGAAATTCATATCTAGCTCAGATCAGTTTCCATGCATCACAGGACCCAAAATTCTTTTCAAGTTAATCATTTACTCTACCCCCCCCCAAAAAAGATGTTGATTGCTGCGAAGCCAGCCAAACTATTTCTCTCATCCCATTTTTAAAAATTTATTCCTAACCCACTCTTCTCCAGAGGTGTCAGATAGTAATTTAACTATTCCTAATAGCATGGGAGTTGACAATCAATATATCTGTAGAACACCAGGTTGGGGAAGGCCATGTTAGATAAACCAAAACTGACACTCCAATTGCAAATCAAGCTGTCACTCATATATGGAATAAATGAACAAGCAGCTGAACAAACGTAGACATTTTGTGTACATTTGTTTTTCCGGAGTTTCTTTTAGAAATCTTTTGCATTGCTGCCTCAGTTCTTATGCAATCAATTCAAGACTTTGCAAGGGATTCTCATTGTAAAAAAATTAATATTGTAAGCCGAATGGGAAATTGGATGAAGTAGAAATAAGAGTATTTTTCTAGATATGAAATATCACTAGTATAAGTAGTCAAAGACTGAGCCTTACTCTCTGTGGTTTCTTACTTCTTCCCATCATATTATGTTGTCTTATATAGAGGAGTGTAAATAAAAGTTCTCAGAAAGTAATGATTAAGGGCTAGCCATATGCAGTTAATTGTAGGATCTGATTAAAAAAACAACAAAATAGCTGATACATTTTTTTTTACAAAACTGGAAGGTAATGGATAGTGCTAATAATTACCATCTTGCTCAACTGCAGCCTCAAAAACACCCAACACTAGCTTTCTGTCAAGCCTTGGGTGTAATTACATAGCCAATGTTATTGGTATCTGATAAGAAACCATTTAAAAACCCTAATTTAACGTTCTACAAATAGACTGCTTCTATCAGATGCAGTGGCACCTTCAGACCCATTTTGAGTGCTGAAAATACTGTTGATTAATTAACAATGAATAATAAAAATTATTTCCTTTTCATATCCCTCAAGAGTGCTAAGTGTGTAGGAAATCTTTTTGAAAACACTGGTGATGTTTTAAAATGTCTCTGGCGGAATAACTCTAAGAACCACATAAGATTGATTCGCCTGTAATTATTAGGGTTAAAAAGTTATCCCACAGATGCACCCTGGCTTCTGATTAAATAACGAGAGGTTATTCATAGTCATTTCTTAACTTCTTGATCTATAGTTAGAGCGCTTCCCCCATTCACTAGAAGTCACTTTATGTTGTTGTTGTGGTGTTGTTGTTTTTAATTAAAAACCAATGCCAACTTTAACAATTTTTGCAAAGGTCAAGTACATTTCCCAATACAGATGTTTCCTCCGTAGCCCCCCGGTGAAGATCTTACACTGTTGGCTCCTCCGAAGCCGTCGCAAGTAAGGCGAGGACAACTTAATTTAAAGCACGGGTTCGGTTCCCCTGCTTTCTGTTAGGAGCGGAGTTGTCTGTCACCCACGACCAATTAATCACTTTGGAAACAACGATCCGCGCAGTTTCTTTGCTTTGCTTTCCCCTCCTCTTCGAGGTCGCTCTGACCGCCTCTCGAAGCAGCAGGTGGGACCTTGGGAGCGCTGGGCGGCTCCACTGTCGCTTTCCTTTGCCAGTCGCCGCCGCGGGTCGGTTCAAAGGCCGGCACCCCAAACTCTGGCCGTCGTAAGCACCATGGACAGCGATCTCCTGCCCCGCTTGGACGCTGTGAGTTTCCGGAGCCTGTGGCAACGCTTCGACGCTGACGGTGAGTGAGAGGCGGAGGAGACTGGGGGTGGGGGGGGGCGCTGAGGGTTCCTCGGGGTAAAACCTTAATTTGGGATAAGTCTGTTTCGCTCTTCTCTCGGCTTCCCCTAACGGGCCCTTTGTTTGGTTGAGATTCCCTGCTCTTCGGGATTTTTCCCCTTGTCCTGAACTTTTATCTGTAACCGACGTGCTTCACTTTCCAATCCAAGATGCCCTGTCAAGTTGCGAACCTTTTTGTCACTGCTTGAGACGATTAATCAATGGATGACCAGCTAGTTTGTTTACTCCTGAATAGTTTTTAATGACTCATTACTCCCAGGGACAGTTCCTCCCCCTCCCCGTGCCATCACTTTGCTGAACATCTAATTCTTGCAGTTTTGTCTCATGTCTATGTATATTAACCCTACTACAGCGTGGCTGGAGTATTCTTATTTATCCTTCTTATTTACTTCCTCCTTCTATTGGTATTATTATTATTCTCTCTGTAGCTTTGAATGTACACTGAGTGCTTCGTTATCGGAGACATATTCTTGGTGTGTCAAATCACAGATGGCCAAGTAAAGTATTAAAATCAATTAAAGTAAATAAGACATACATGAGTTGCATATGTTAGAGGAAAATACTTTAGCAACAGGAGGAGCAGATCCAGGGCTTACATGCATCTCAATCTCCTTTGAAATATAGATTTGATCCATTTATGAAATAGGAATTGGTGTTGTAAAGCATTGGGCTTGGGATTGATATAATTATTGTGTATTCAGTAATATAGTTTATTTTATTTTATTTTTAGATAATGGTTACATAGAAGGAAAAGAGCTTGATAACTTTTTCTGTCATCTGCTTGAGATCCTGGGCAGTAAAGTAAGTACTCCATCATCTTAACGTATCTTTCATTTTATGTACACAGAGAGCATATGCACCAAGACAAATTCCTTGTGTGTCCGATCACACTTGGCCAATAAAAAAATCTATTCTATTCTATTCTTATGTGCATGTAAGGATGACACGAACAAAAGCTTGTCCAGCCTATTCCTGGCTGGATTAAATACAGCAGAGCTGAACATCTGTTCAGCTGGATTAAATACAGCAGAGCTGAACATCTGTTCTGGAACTCAGTTGTTTACCATGAGCCTCCACCTATCCTCCACTGAAATAGCAGGTTGACTTTTTAAGACTCCCGGTGCAGAGCCTTGGTTGTTCTATGCTATGCTTGATCGTGATGAGGTTATTTAACCATATCCTTACATGTATCTCCTACTGATTTGCCTGGTAATTCCTACCACTAAAAATCATTTGCTACCCCCAGAGTCTACTTCGCTTCCTTTCAAACAACCTCATTACTGCTGGCTCTGTGTTGACTCTCCACGTTTGCCATCAACCCAGGGGTCATATTTCAAGCATTAGGCTCACCTGTCTTTTTCAGGAAACCATACCACCTGTTTAGTTTGATTAATGAGCCTTGGGTATCTATTGAGTGGATAAAGGGAGTCGTAAAGCAGGTGTTCTATGGCCCATAGAATCTGTGGTGACATTAGTTTTATAGATGTTGTATTCTGGATTCCAAAATAAATTAATACCAGATTTCTTTGGATTTATACTTGGATGCAAAGATCTGTAAATAAGGTACTATGTAGTTATTTTATTTCAGCAAATGTATTGTCCTTTTATTTTAGTTTTGATTGCTTCCTGTTCAGAGTACGAAAAGAGATACATAGTCTTCCTTTATGTTCTACTTTGTCTGTCCTTGAACATGTAGAGTTTTAATTTAAGAAATTACCAAAGGCATAGGCAATATTTTTATTACATTAGCTGTGTATTTATTTCCACCATAGTGAACAGACTTTTCAATTTCTAACCATTGCTTACCGGGTAACCTGTTGAAAAACAGAAATGAAGGATAGCTAAATTTGGGGTGTGTGGGTATGTTTAAACCATGTCTTAACTAAGGTTCCACTTTGTATGGAATATCATAATAATATACAAGTATGTAAATTGAGATTAACCAGGTACAGAAATAGGTTGTACTAAGGACCTTCCCTAAGGTTGCCTAAAATTTTTTTAAAAAGGATCCCAGTTGTTAAACTCCGAACCATTTATTAGAAGGCTACTGTAAGCATATGTATGTGATAAGTTATCCTAAATTGGTAGCACTTCAATTTAATTACAACTTTATATTTCCACGTAACACCAAAAAATAAACAAAGGAAGGTTAAAGAAGGATAAATATTAGCTTATGTAGTTCAATTGATAGCTGAATTTTATTTTTTTCTTTAAAAGAGGGGTCACATTTCTAAATATATGAACAGTAGGTTAGTGTCTGTTGCTCTCTCTGGAAGTATATATCCAATTTTATTTTTGATCTCTGTTTTCAGAGGTGAGACCTCCATGAAAATTGGCCATTTTAGCTGAGCATGTTTACTATGCTTTACATGAGATGAAATTTTGTAGAAGGAACAATTTTCCGTTCCACTGAATGGAATTATAGTATCACTGCAGACATTTCCCCAGTCACGAAGGAGCCAGAATACTATGCTTCTATTTTTCAATGCCTAACGATTTCGGGTAATCCTATTGCAATTGCAGGATCCTAGTTGGTTAGAAATTTGAGAAGAGAGAAAAAGAAATTGACAGGTGAAAGGAGAATATAACATTTCTTTCTTGTTACATAATGAAGAGCAAGGATGTCAAACTCGCATCGTCACGTCGTCACGTGACATATGGCAACTTTTCCCACTTTCGCTAACCGGGGTGTGTGTGTGGCCAGCATGTGACGATCCAGCCAGTGGGCCGCGAGTTTGACACCCCTGATGAAGAGGATAGGTATTAACTAGTTATGCTGAGAAAAGTTACGTTGTACCTACTTTCTAAAAATTAAAGAACTTGGTGTGAATGAAGGCCAACAGCAGCTAAATAACTGGCAATTATGATTTCATGTGAGTGGGTATAGGTGGATAGAAAAGCCAAATCCAGACTAAATATCTGATTAACTTTGTGACCAATCTTAATAATTAAATAAATGGACAGGCTTGAAGAACTTCTGTCTGATAAAATAACTTATACAGGAAGGATTAAGTAAATTTCACCACACCTGATTAATCTGTCAAGCTAGCAAGGTATATATGCTTCCTCTGCATATCTGTTTGGTGGGCCAGTCACAATTATGCATATTTTCAATAGTTACTGTAATATTAGATATTACCAATGGCTATAATCCTATGAGTGGAGAATGGGAGATCTCCTTTCTTCTTTACAGAGATCTATTCAATCTATGATTATTTTGTAGACTATTTTGGAAACATCAAGGTGATGCAAAGGCACTTACCACACAACCTAAAAGGGTTATTGTGAGAAAGAATAATCAGCTTCTAATTTTGTGCTTTGGAAATTTAAAGGGCATCATGCAAGCAAATAAATACTAATGTGTACTCTGAAAGTTGTTTCCGTTTGAATAGCTAACAGTTTCATAATTATTATTTTTAACCTTTCCCTGTTGTTATTTTTCTCCTAATGACCAATGGGGTCTCTACTTGTTGGTATTCTTCCCATTTCACTACTCTAAACTGTTCTCATTTTGTGTAAGCAAAGCCACTCCAGCTGGGAAAACAATAGAATGACAGAATTTGTCAAGCGTGCAAAATGGAAAAAGAGACAATTGGATGGTTGAAGACAACATGGGGAATTGGGAGGGTGGTTTTTAATTGACAAGATGCACTGAGGAGTCTGAGAGTTAATTTTGAAATCTGGGTCCAGAGAAGAAACACAGACATCCAGAAATTCTCTTCTTGTGGTTTTCTATATACATTTAGCAAAATTTCATTATATTTCCCTCAGGGTTGTTGAGGGCTCCCCCCCCCTTCCTTAAAATAGCCAATCTTCCATTCTGAAACCTTGACAGCTCAGCTCAGCTGTTCCTGGTTACCATTTCCATGTACTTTAAAAGGAAAACTAGCTATTTGTTTTGAAATAAGAATAGTGGCTTAACCAGAAAAGTATTTTTCATGGCCTCACTAACAGGGTCACCCAACATTCTGAGTTCAAACAAAACAAATAGATAGGCTTCATCCATCATTTTTCATCAACTGTCAGCTAATTAAGTGCACCTTGTGCAATATCTACCAAGTTGGAACTTTTGAGCTTTTGAACTCTGAACATATAGATGAATCAAAAACACAATACATTTTCTATGAATATAAACAGTTTTAACACCAATATAGGGCATTGTGTACAAACATTTCTAGAAAAATAGGAAGGTATCATAATCAGGACAAGAAAATTGAAGCTCATACTATGGACAATTTATGGGAGGATTTAAAAGAGAGAGAAATAGGATTCCTCAAGAATATCACATACACATGCATAACGGGAACTTTAAGTAAAGAAAATTGCCTAAAGAATCCAGTCTGCTAATGGGTTAAATTTCTTGTCATTTCCATATCTGTAAAATGTGGATTCTTTGATGTGAAAACAATCCTGAATGTGTATTTATTTATTTTTCCTTTGAGTTAATTTTGACTCTTGGTGTCTGCTTGGACTAGTCTCTGTGGTTTTCCTGGCAAGACTTTTGGAAGTGGCTTGTCCCTGTCTTTTTTGTAGACTTGAGAGAGATTAGTTGCTCACCTAAATTCACCCACCTGACTTTGTGCCTATGGCAATACTAGAACTCACAGTCTCCTGGTTTCTAGTGTGGTCCCTTAAGCACTACAACAAACTGGTTCTTGACTAATGTTACTAGAAATCTAATTTTGTAATTGGATTTAGCTAGATATAATGACATGGTTTAAAATATTGCTTGCAAACAGTAACACTGCTAACATGTTGATAAAATATGTTTTATGTAAAGAATTAATATTTACTTCAAGTTACAAGTTACATGAACCGACATACACATACACACACACACATTCAAGGGTAAATTCTTAGTTGGCTACATACCTTTGAGTTAAAACATATGAACTAATTGTTAATTAGTTAGCAATTTTATATTTTTAAAAAAGGAAGCTGATGACTAAAGCTGATGAACTCAGCTGAATATTCTATTCTGCTATCCCTTTTATAGTATAATTTTCAAAGCCTTAAATGATCGTGAACTCCTTTTGTAGTTTCCACTTGAAAAGTCAAGCTGGAAGTTTAAATTATAATTATAGGTGATATTTTTAAAAATCAACCATGGAAATCAACCCACTTCTTTGTTATACTTTCTGAAAGATCCTTCATTTGGGATAAAAATATCTGGAGGTATTGGGGTTTTCAAAATTCTTGTTTCCATAACTCTTGGAGCATAGACACGTTTTAGCAATAGATAATACCCTGGTTCTGGTGTTCTCTTGACTAATTTAAAGGCCATGCATCACATGTTTCGATTGGCTTATTTCATTTCTGTTACCCATTTGTCATCCAGGACATTCTATAATCAACAATTCTCACCCATTGTTATCCAATGCACTGGGCATGTCATCAAACTAGATGGGTTCATGGGTCTCCATTGGAGGGCTCAGGGGCAAATGATGACATGTGTACAATGGCATCACACAAATGCTGTGACTTGTGCCAGTTGTTGGAAAGCAGGTTTGTAGTAGTGGCATTTAACTCATGGTATTATTTTTGATATCATCATGGTTTGCTGTGGACACCACCACTGATCTCCAAGGTCACTTCCAGTCCTTACGTTCAATAATTCTATGAAAGGAAGGAGGAGCTATAAAAATTATGCCTTAGAATGTGGTTCCATATGACACCCTGGTGTTTGCGTGACTCTAATTCATGCACTTCTAATTCTGCCTAGGATGAAGCTCACTTGATTTTGCAGTCAGATATCTTCAAGTTGGGGGTAGGAAGCTGCCACTAAACAACTGTTTTGCTTAGCAATGGAAATTTTGGGCTCAAGTCTGGTTGTAAATTGAGGATTACCTATAACTGCAGATGCTGTGATTCTCTACAACTTCTTATTCTGTGCTACATATGTGGATATATGGTTGTGTGCTGCTCCTCCATTTACAAATGCCTACAAGATAATATAGCAAGTATATTTAATTGGGAGTCTTCATTAGCAAAGCAGATCAAATTTTTTACTCTTTTAGCATTAAAGTTGCTCTAAATCTTTTCCTTTAAGTACAGAACACCAATTGTAAGTCTTCCATGGGTGATCTTGAAGAAATATAAAAAGAACATTCTGTTACTCTTAGAATGTCAGTTGTAGCCATAATCCTATGATCATTTTTTTTTTGTAACAGAGCACCATTACAGAAGAAAAGGTTCAGAGGATGAAAGAACAATTGATGTCAACCTACAATGTAACTAATGATGGACGCTTACAAATACAAGAGGTATCTGCCTCTTTTCTTCTTTGGGGATTTTAGAAAATAGCATAGATAATTGAACACACCCAAGAGCCAGTTTTAATAATAGAAATGTGTTGTATCATAGACATTGCTGCTGTTTTCTCATTTCAGCCATACCTGATTCCCGTTTTTGGAAATAATCCCAGCAGGAGTGTTCACAAGACATGGTCAAAAAGGTTAAGATCGCGACCACAATGATACGAGATCTGCCCATATTCTTATGTGTGCATTCATGCGATACCCATAAAAAAACCAGGAAGAGTTAGAACTCATCGTTGTGGCTGTCATCTTGATTTTTGACGATGCCTGCTAGGCAGCCCTGAGTCCTCTAAACATATAGAAAAGGGGCATTAGGCAGATAAAAAAGTTAGGATGATGCTTGTGTGATTGAAGGTCCATTCCTTTTTTACATGTGACACATGTGTGAGACACATTAAAAAAACCAACTTTTTTTGGTTTTAACTTTTTTGATTGACCTAATATCGATTGAGGATACTGATTATTATACAATGATAATCATTCATGTTATTTTAGCTTGCAAATATGATTTTGACTGAGGAAGACAACTTTCTGCTACTTTTCCAAAGAGAAACTCCTTTGAATAACAGCGTGGAGTTCATGCGGGTAAGAGTTCTTGCTGCATGTTCCAGTTTTTGAAGTAACAACTGTTATTCGTTATTTCACTCAGTCCACTGCTTCAAATAAAGTAAGTACTGGAGGATTTGGTTTTTAAAAACAGAATGTATTTGTGTGATGAGAGGAGCGAAACCTGAGACTATTTCTATTTTTTTCTTCCGATACCAAAAAATACATTTATCTGGGACAAAACAATAGTGTTGTTGGAAAGGAGGGAGGTAAATCATATGTGGGCATGGAATATCAGCAACTTTTCTTCTACAAAACTTCCTTGAGATGCATCTTGAGCCATAGACGCATCTCTTTTTGTGTTCTGTAATACATAATCTCTTATTTGTGTGTGGTTTGCTGTGAAAGTGACAACACATGCTTCTTGACACAGGTAATCATACCCTACCCTACCCTACCCTACCCTACCATATCATACCATACCCTACCATACTCCTTCCTGTAGCTGCTTATTCAGTTCATAAATTACAACCTTATCTTTCTTTAAAGCAAATATAACCACAAAAGGACTGTGTGTTTTGAACTGTGAAAATATCAGCCTTTGACTTAAGAAACTGCAGACATCAGAAGGTTTAATGGCTAATCCATGTTTACTTCATATGGAAAGGAATAAAAGCTATGTCTATTTTTCCATGTAGTTTAGTGACCAGATTTCTCTTATGAAAAACATGTTAGCAACATGCTGGCCCTGTGCGCCATAGTCTCTTACATTAAAAAAAAATAGTAAAAAATAAGTTTTCGGTCAATAAACTGAGAAAGACTCAACAGCTTTAACACATCACCAAGAAGAAGCCCAGTTCAGCCAGCTTTTGTATGGATACTGATTATTATCAGTAATAGATAATACTATTAATAGATAATATTAATAGTAATAGATAATAGATAATATTTTATAGAAATTATTATCATTTCTCATCCTGTGAAGATAATTCTACACCTGGTTAGAACAGATTTTATGGCTTATCAGTTTCAGCCTCAAAATGCAGTTTGAGATAAGCTCTCTTATTTGCACAGCAATAACCTGGCCTAGATGTGCAATCATGGAAACCACACGTCCCTACTGAACTGGCATGTCTGTAGTCTGATTTCTTTTCATAGAAAAAAAAAATCAGTAACACAAACAAGTGAGACCTGTAATAAAATAAGATAGTGTAGAGTATGTCGTGGACAAAATAAATGGAGAGCAAATAAAATGGCGGTTGCACTCTTATCTTCCATGTCTTTGAAATTTTGGGCTCAATTGTGATCAATTGAGGACTACCTGTATATATAATCTTCTTTCTAATGCTATCATTGTTTCTTGTGATTTGGCGACTAAACAATAGACAGTTCCGTGAAACTGATGTAATGAACCAGATTAACAGAATATGTTCTATGTTATTTACTTTGTTTTTTTTAGCGATACAACCACTTCTTCAGGCTTCTGCTATCTGAATCTGTAGCACTCTAAAGGTCCTGAGAGAAATCTGTCAAAGGATTTATTGGTGAGGTTGTGATGTTAATTCAAAGACATGCCGGTAATTTGTAAAGTATCACACCTTTTTCTTTCCTGCAGATTTGGCGTCATTATGATGCTGACAGCAGTGGCTTTATTTCAGCCGGTGAACTCCGAGTAAGTTCTGGGCTTGCTGGAACTGTATTCAGATGCTGCTTTTGTTATTAGCTACTCTCTGATTACCTTTGCCTATTACCTGTACTAAGCAGAGTTCCAGGTAAGCCACCTTTCCCAAGGTGGCTGCAAGCTGCAATTAAGTTTCCTTGGGGGGGTGGCAATTGTGGATAGGAATGAGACCCCAAAATGAATAGGCCCACAGCATGTATATAGAGAAGACTTGTTTCCCCTTGTGGCAATATTTGTGGGTTAATTTATTATTTCTTTTACCTTTGTAGAGGAGCTATTTTCTCTTTAAAATAGTGGAAACCTGCTGTGCCTATTTTCAACTACAGAAGGCAGAAATGCCTCTGGATTCTGGAAGCCAAAACAAAGTTGGTCATCCATGAATTATGCATGAGATTTGTATGAATCAAGCTCTGAATCATGCATATTGTTCCAGGATAAAGCTGAAATGTAACTTCTACCCTCTTTCCTGAACTTAGGACTTTCTGCAAGATCTGTTTCGGCAGCACGAAAAAAACGTTTCCAAGGCAAAACTGCAAGAATACACCGATACCATGGTAAACTGAAATTTCTTAACTATTATTCCTAGCATTATAGTAATTCCTAAATCTCCGAGGCAGCCTGAAGGATTTTGACACTATTTGGATGTGTGCAGCAAAGGATGAAAAAGAATATTATACACAAAGCACATAGGATTTAAAGATCATTTCAAACAGCAATCTTTTATCTTCAGAAATATAATGCAAAGGGAAAAAATGGAAATGGTAGAGCAAGAGCAAAGAAAAAATGAAGTAAGGAGAGTGCTGAGAAGAGGGTTGAACTAGATGACCTCACAAGAACCTTCCAATTCTGGAACTCTATATTTTGCCTTTATTTGACTCAGAGACCTGGCACATCCCCCACTTGTGCCCAATAATATGTCATTTTTAGACACTGTGCTTGAGGGAAAGTGTCATCTGCAGCCAGTGCTTTTTTAAGGGGGTGCTTCCCAAACCCACATAACTTACCCAAAATTGGGGAAAAGTGGTTTTTCTTTCAGTAGGGATACACAAACTCATCATCCAATCCCAATAGGTCTTTAAATAAGACCTTTCTGATAAAAAGGATATCAGTAAAAAGGATTTACTGATAAGTGGTTTTGGGTAAGGAAGGAAAGGGCTCGGGAAGTCCTGCTTTAAGGAGGCTTGGTAAGATGTTGAGGAAGGATGCTCATATTCTTGTTCTAAATCAAAAACATTCTTTCAGCTTTTGGGGCTGCGGCAACAGCTTGAAAGTGTAAAGGGTGAATGCTTTGCAGAATGTCAGCAACCAAAAGTAAATTTTCAGATGCAGGATATTAATTGAGGGCTGGCTCTGCAACCACATTAGTCCAATGTTATTGTTATTATTTCATCTTTATTGGCTGCCATTATTTCCATGCTCAGTTTAAAGTGTTGGTTTGGCTTTTATAGTGCTAACAGCACAATATATCTACTTAGCATTAAAAGCCACTAATTTCAATGATTTTATATTCAAGTGAGTGCATATAGATTACCATCTAAATGGCCTAAGTATGTAAGCCTTTTCCATTTCAATATTTCTTATAACCTATTTTTTAAAAAGCTCACTTGGAACCAACGATCAGGAACACTTAGCCCAAACACATGTTTAGTTTGTTTAGTCCTAGTAATTTTGTTCATTGTGTTTTCTTTCCATGTACCTAGCAATTTTTGAGATATTTTATCTCAGTTATGTTGAACTCATTAAAATATTATATACATAAAAAGTTTCCTGGATTAAGGACTAAAATTATTAGCACACAGAGAGAAGTCTTGAATATCTTCTATTACCATATTTTTCAGAGTATAAGACGTACCTTTTTCCCCCAAAAAAGAGGGTGAAAATCTGGGTCCGTCTTATACTTCGAATGTGCCCCACCCAGCTTCTTAAACGGGGGTTTCAGAGGCTGAAAAAAGCATCAGAAACGGAGCGTCAGAAAAAAAGCCTCCAAACAGAGCTTCAGAAAAAAAGCCCCCAAGCAGAGCTTCAGAAAAAAAAGCCTCCAAACAGAACTTCAGAAAAAAAGCCCCCAAACAGAGCTTCAGGAAAAAAGCCTCAGAAACAGAGCTTCAAAAAAAAAAAGCCCCCAAACAGAGCTTCAGGAAAAAAACCTCAAGAACAGAGCTTCAGAGGCTTTTTTTCTGAAGCTCTGTTTCGGAGGCTTTCAGAGGCAGAAAAAAAAGTTTTTTCCGAAACGGAGTTTCAGAAGTTTCAGAGGCAGAAAAAAAAGCAAAAAAAAGAAAGGCACAGAGCTCACAACCAACAAACCTGTTGCTAAAATTCACCTCTGGGAACAGCTGATTAGGGGTATTGCGGGAGGCTGATCCACCCACCAATCAGCTTTTTTCTTATTTTCCTCCCCAAAAACTAAGGTGCGTCTTATACTCCGAAAAATACAGTACATTTCACGTCCAGAAACAGAACAAATCTGTAAATAACCATTGGTTACATGGTTATTTTAATTAAATTTAAATTTTAAACTGAGCAAGCAAACTTTTTAACTTAAAGGAGCAGCACACATGCACAAAATAACCCAGTCCTTTGCTAAGATCATTGGAGGAAACTTTTCTTCTCACGTTTCAGTGAGATACATATGGTGATAATTCAAAGGGTAGTTTTTCTAGTAGTGGGCCGCTTGGAGATCCAGCAATAGTGTTCCTCCAGCTACTAGGAGAGCATTCCTTAGCAAATCTTTATGTGTCAGTGGGATCAAAGGATGATGAACAGAGCCATAGTGCCATCATCCTAGGAGTGTTGATCAGCAAAGAAAAAGGTTTCGCCGCTGAACTAAAAGGTCCAAGTTAATATGGCTGCAAGTCTATCACCCAGTACTCACTATGAGGGCATCATGTCCTCTAAGCATAATGCAAGGGTGTACAAATCCTCTTTTTATTTGTGGCTAGCTAAACATGTACATTGTCCATATTGAGTGGATGGGAATTGAGAATATTTTGAGGGTGCTAATTGACTGATGAATTGCCAAAATATGTATTTCCCCCAATGTCAGTGTGACTGATGCACTGGCAATCAAGGCAAGTCTGATCACATTAATACCGTATGTCTCCCTAAAAAAAGGAAACTTAATTTGTAGAAGTTTGTCCTTGCTGATGTTGATGAAGATTCTCAGTAATCCAGGTAGAATTGTAGCATTGCTGATCTTTCTAATAGGGCTCTCTATTGCCTTTCTAGCAGTGCAGCTCTCTATAAATGCTATCTCCATCAATTTGAGCATCCAGCTCTGTCTTGAATGCCTTACAGGCCATTTAGAATTAGATTTGATGGCCAAGTAGTTGTTAACTATGACTTTTAAAGTACCCTGGTATTTAGCATTCTGCAATTCACAAAGCTACGTTTTGTCTACGCCACGTGCAAGGAAAGCTCATTGCTGGGATATTCATCCGCAAATCATTCTACCTACCCTGCCAAAATAATCATTTCCAGACTGAGGCTATTATTATTCATTGGCTAAAATAGCAAGTCATGATAATATCTGTCCAGCTGTCAGCAATGGGCTTTCATTTCCAGTAGACAATCTACTTCCATCAGATATAGCAGTACCTTTTAGCTATGTAAAAGGTAATTTTTTAACCTTTTTAAAATGTGCAATTTAAATAAAGGGGGGGGATCCACATGCTATGGATTAATTCTCAGCTACCTGGATGATGAGAATGTTCTCCATTTTTGTCCAAATAGTTGAAGAGTAATTTAGTAATTTAGTTTATTGGATCCCTGAGATATAAAATAGCGTTTGAATTTTTTTTTTTAATTTGATTTATATGCCGCCCTTCTCCGAAGACTCAGGGCGGCTTACAATGTGCTCAGCAATAGCCTTCATCCTTTTGTATATTTATACAAAGTCAGCTTATTGCCCCCACAACTGGGTCCTCAATTTACCTACCTTAGAAAGGATGGAAGGCTGAGTCAACCTTGAGCCTTGGCGAGATTCGAACCCTGCAGTAATTGCAGGCAGCTGGTCTTAATAACCAGCTTAATAACAGGGTGCCTTAAACCCCTGTACTACCAAGGCTCTTGGATGGTAAATTGTTTGGGTCCTTCATAACCCCATGGCATCATCTCTTTAGCTTTTCTTTTAAAATTATTATAGTGCAGTAGGAGACCACTTCCTATGCATCTTAATACATTAAACCCATCAAAAAATTCTGGGAAGAGTTTTCAAAGAAAAGGGAAGGGTACATGAGAAAACAATCGTGCTGTCAGCATTCCAGAACGACCCAACTCCAATTAAAAACTCTGAGACAAGCTTCATCTCAAAATTTTCATTTATTGGAATAGGTATACTGTCACATCTGGGAAAACCCAAATCTGAGAGTTCCGGGTTTCCCCTCAATAAATCAAAACCCCATATCCAGCCCCTGCACCCATCAGTCCATCACATGGCCCAATCACCATCCTTCCCAACTTGAGAGACCTCTGCAATCACTCCTCCTCTAGATGCAGGAGCACCATGACCTTGACCAAAAAGAAGAATATATTATGTCTAACAAAATCCACTCTATCAAATCCCACCTCCTCCTTTCCCAAGTGCAAGAAGGTGGCAGCACGGAAGCTTCCAAAGCTGACACATGCACTTTGGGACAGGTTGCTAAAACACAGTTTAGCTAGCAGTTAAGGCATCAGACTAGAAACCAGGAAACTGTGCATAATCCTGCCTTAGGCATGAAAGCTAGCTGGGTAACTTTGGGCCAATTTCTCAGCCCAAGCCATTTCACAAAGTTGCTGTTGTAGGGAATATGGGAAGGAAGGAATATTAGGTACACTTTCCACCTTGAATTATTTATAAAGATAATAAATATGGGATCTAAATGATAAGGAAGGGCACGGTGGCCTAGCAGTTACAATACTGGAACTTGTCAACGAGAAGTTTGAGATTCAAGTGCCACATAACAGGGTGAGCTCCCATTCTCGCCCCAGCTCCTGCCAGTTTGAAAGCATGCAAATGCAAGTAGATAAATAGGTACCACTTCAGTGGGACCTATTCAGTGTTCCATGCGCTTCAATGTAGAATCATGCCGGCCACAAAAACTTCTTTGGACAATGCTGGCTCCCTTGGCTAAGAAACAGAGATAAGCATTGCCCCCTAGAGACATGATTGGATAGGGGAAACCTTTACCTTTTTATAAATGATAAAAAGAAAAAGAAACCTGGTCTCTCTGCAGGCTACATGTTTTTCTTATTGTAACAGTTATGACAGGGGACTGTTGCTTTCAGTTCAGTTCAGCGACTAATAATAAAATTGACAAACCTAAGTAAATCTCAGCAAGAGGAAAGCACATGTTAGTTAGTTAGCTAGTTAGTTTATTATATTTGTATACCGCCCTTCTCCCGAGGGACTCAGGGCAGTGAACAGCCATGGTAAAAAATGTACAAGAAAAATTAAAAGCTTACTAAAATAATTCAGTCATTCGGCCAAATTTAAAATATCCAACTAAGATCATTTTAAAACCCCTATCAAAACCCAATTTAAAAAACCTTTATCCTGTCAGTCCAGCTTGCTGGAATAATAGGGTCTTCAGAGAGCGACAGAAGGCACGGAGGTCAGAGATCCTTCGTATGTCTGGGGGCAGTTCATTCCTTAGGGCCAGGGCCCCCACAGAGAAGGATCTCCCCCTGGGGGTCACCAGCCTACATTGTTTGGCTGACGGCACCCTGAGGAGGCCCTCTCTGTGGGAGCGTACTGGTCGGTGGGAGGCAATCGGTGGCAGAATGCGGTCCTGTAGATAACCAGGTCCTAAACCATGGAGCGCTTTAAAGGTGGTAACCAACACCTTGAAGCGCACCTGGAAGACCACCTGAAGCCTATGCAGCTCACGCAAGATGGATGTTACATGGGAGCGACGAGTCGCCCCCATTATTACTCGCGCGGCTGCATTCTGGACCAGCTGGAGCCTCCGGGTGCTCCTCAAGGGGAGCCCCATGTAGAGAGCATTACAATAGTCCAGCCGGGAAGTGACGAGGGTGTGAGTGACTGTGTGCAGGGCGTCCCGATCCAGAAAGGGACGCAACTGGGAGATCAGGCAAACCTGATAAAAGGCCCCCCCGGCCACGGCCATCATATGATCCTCCAAGGACAGCCGTGAGTCCAGGAGGATGCCCAAGTTGCGAGCCCTCTCTGAGGGCTGTAATGAGTAAGATTGACTGTTTATCGTCAATTGCCTATTTCACTGTACAGTGTTATAAAAGAGAAACGAAGGCTTTTGAGCTTGCCAGAGCTTGCCAGAAGAAGAGAAGAGAAAAGAAAGGATGTGAATTGTAGAAGAAGCTAGGCTCATCCCCACAATAGTGAATCACGATTCATACAATGGAACTGGGTGATGATCTCAGACAATGAACCAGGTGCAAGAAAAGAGACAATAAAACTCTCATCTCATGCAGCGTTGGTATGATTTCACATGTGGTTGCTGAAACGTCTTGCTAGAAATGGTCAAAGGCTTGTAATATCTCATTATTTCATATGATTCAGGCATTTTCATAGACAGCATGTGAGTTTTCTCATCACTATTTTGAAAATTTGGCAATGCCCTTGAGATTCTGGTGAGTGGGCACTGCCTCACCAACCCTAGTTTTCTGTCTTGGCAATAGCAATAGCACTTAGACTTATATACTTATATGCTTCATAGTGCTTTACAGCCCACTCTAAGCAGTTTACAGAATCAGCATATTGCCCCCAGCAAACTGGGTCCTCATTTTACCGAACTTGGAAGGATGGAAGGCTGAGTCAACCTTGAGTCGGTCAGGATTGAATTGCCGGCAGTGGGCAGAGTTTGCCTGCAGTACTGCATTCTAACCACTGCGCCACCACCGCTCATTCTGCCAATCTGATTACTGTTAAAAATTCATCACGTGTCAATTCCAATAGATTGGCGAAGGCTCCAATAGAAAACGGAGTTGTTTTCCCAGTTCGGTCAGGCATCTCAATTAGTCATCTTTTTTTCAAATGAGGCCAGGTGTATCCTTACGTTGCAGTTGATAATTGATATATTTCTGATTAATAATCTAAGTTCAGTAATGTTTCAACAATAGGAACTGTTAGAAAGTTAGGGATCTCACTTTATCAGAGCTTGACTCCTCCTCCAGTTGAGGATTTGTGTCAGGGGTGGGTTCTATTTACCTTTACTACCGGTTTGCAGTGGGGCCGTGCTTTGCTCGCTCGCGTATAAACTCTTCTGTGCATGCACAGAAGCGTTTTGATGACGTCGGGGTCAGTGGGTGGAGCCTCCCACCGGTTTTACTACCAGTTCTATAGAACCAGTGAAAACCGGGGGCAACCCACCACTGGTTTGTGTGGCACATGTTGAGTGGGTATGAGGGAGAGATCATGAGGTGCAGAAACTGGCAATTTGTAAGATGCAAAGAGAAAGAGTGAAGCTGCTCACTTGATCTTGGGAACACCTTTGTAGAAGGACTTTTCTAGTTACCACTCATAGACTGTATAGTATTTATAAATAAGCTTAAGTCTCCATTTGGCTACATCAGGGGTGTCCAACCTTGGCAACTTTAAGACCTTTTTGACCTGTGGATTTCAACTCTTAGAATTCCCCAGATGGAATTCTGGGAGTTGAAGTCCACAAGACTTAAAGTTGCCAAGCCCGGACACCCCTAGTCTACCTTGTGCATTCATCTGAGAAATCATATGCTGTAGGAGTGCAGGGTATTGATTTTGAGATGGCACTATCTTCTAAGCCACTGAGCCTGAAGATTACAGGATAGAAAGATGAGATATTATGCAACATATGGATATAATCATATTTCTCCACCCCTCCTGGGGGTTTTTACAGCTTTCCTAATGGTAGTATTAATAAAATAAAGATTAAACATTATCCTAGTTTTGAATATTTTAAAACTGGAGCTAAGCTGTGCAGTTTGCCAAATCACTTTCCCACATAGAAAAAATTAAATCCAGCTTCTCAACCTCCTTTGATTATAGTTTATTCCATTCACTATTTCCTTCACTCTTTCTTCCTTTCCTTTTATTCTGGGAGGGGGGGAAACATTGCCTTCCCCCCCTTTTTTGCTGTTTTGTGACATAATGGCAGGAAAAGGGCAGAGGGCGGGGCCAAAAGTCAACCAACCAGCAAGAAAGAAAATCTAAGAATACAGTTAAGCTTAATTAGAATATACTTCAGAGAGCAGAGAAAGCCTTTTACATTAATAGATTTTGATAGAGATCAAAGAGACTGAAAGAGACTGAAATTTCTTAATTAAATCTCATTTTTACACAGACAAAGCTCTTTGGTAGTGTCAAATGTTTTTGGAAGGTTCAGCAAGATGATGGATAAGGACCATTCTTCTGATGGCCTATGGCAGAGCTCTCCAAACTTGGCAACTTTAAGACTTGTGGACTTCTGGGCAACTCCCAGAATCCCTCAGCCAGCCATGATGGCTGGGGAATTCTGGGAATTGAAGTCCACAAGTGTAAAGTTGTCAAGTTTGGAGAGCCTTGACCTATGGTTTCCAAGAACAAACTCAGAAGACCTGCTCCTGCAAACCTCTCCCCAATAGTGCTCCCCCAATGTACTAGAACTGCTTCTATCAGAAATGTTGAGCTGCGGAACTCTTGGCCATGTTGGTAGAAATGTTTATTTTTATCTATCTGTCTGTCTGTCTATCTATCTATCTATCTATCTATCTATCTATCTATCTATTTGTCGAACATGTATAAGATAACAGATGTAAGTATAAACATGATTATGAATACAGGATAAGAATACGAATAAATGGGGGCAGTAGGACAGGGACAGTAGGCACGGTGGTGCGCTTATGCATGCCCTTTACAGACCTCTTAGGAATGAGGTGAGGTCAACAGTAGACAGTCTAAGGTTAAAGTTTTGGTGGTTTGGGGAAGAAACCAGAGACTCAGGTAGTGCATTCCAAGCATTGACCACTCTGTTGCTGAAGTCGTATTTTCTGCAATCGAGTTTGGAGTGGTTTACCTTAAGTTTGTATCTATTGTGTGCTCATGTATTATTGAAGTTGAAGCTGAAGTAGTCTGGGAATTGTTTTAGTTTTAGTACCTAAGGATGAAATTCTGGAGCAGCCTGCTGTTGACATCTTAGGCCTACAGTGTTTACATAGGTACTTATCCATGACTCCCAAACAATACATAATAAAGTCTTCCCATAAGGATATCAGATGCAAAATCCTAAATTTTCAGCACTCCCCCACCAATTATTCCTTTGCAACTTACATTTACTTGTTGATTTGTCCCTACAGTTTGTTAAGGCTTAGTGTTAGGGTTACCCAATTATCTTATCCTAAAATTACGTTCTTCAGATTTTTAGCCTATCTCATCCTCAAAGGCTTTTGAGCTGCAGGTTTATACATGCTTTCCAGAGACCAAGCTCTACTGAAGGTAGTAGCACCTTCTTTTGAATCAACCTAGATGTTTAAAAAAATTCCATCAGTTGTTAGGGAAAAATTGGAAAGTGGGAGAAAACAGGTAAATATTTTGCTTACGTATTCAATGCCCACTAGCTGAAAGAAGGATCACAAACATTATTTTAAAGTTATGACTTGAATAATCCAAATATCCCTGGGAGAAATCTATGGTAGACTCATTAACATCTTTGGATCACCACATAACCAACCATTTGTCTGCCTACTGTCACTCAAAGTAATTTGAGCGTATCATTCTGATTAGTAAAATGCTATTGGTTTGGGAGTTTTTTTAGCTCTCCCAGTATTAATCATTTCACTTCCACTATTTGCTTTGTAGATGAAGCTCTTTGACAAAAACAAAGATGGCCGGCTGGATCTGAATGACCTTGCAAGGTAAATATTCGCAGTTTTGATTCTCTTGGAGTGGCTTCAGCAGCTTACCTCCTGTTGTACAGTTGCTAAAGGCTCAGGAAGCAAGGTGACAATACGCCGTATCACAAACTACTGTTTCCTGAAATGTCTGTTAACTTCCCGTGAAATCTCCTATCTTTCTGAGCTGTCAAACACAACTGTCTATTTCTGTAGAAATGAAGTCTCAGAAAATAATAGTTTGGCTCTTTCCACTCAGGATTTTAGCTCTTCAGGAAAATTTTCTCCTTCAATTTAAACTGGATGTAAGTACAGTAATTTGCAGAGAACTTGATTATTCTTTTTTTTTCCTCTAGTTTCCCCCCCCCCGAAAAAATTAATTCCTCTTCTACATGTTCTTTGATTTAGGCTTCCAGTGGAGAAGAAAGAAAAAGAGACTTTGAGAAAATCTTTGCACACTACGATGTTGTAAGAGTTTTATTATTACTATTTGGGATTACTGACCCTGCAATACACCAAATGATAGAGTCCGTTTTATGAATGCTGTCCTTTATTGGAAGACACTCTCAAATACTCTATGTCTAGTTTAAAGATAAGTTAAAGATAATCTATGAAGAGGAATTTCCCCATCATTAAAGAGTCCTATTTAGTTGCCATGCAAATCATGGGCGTTTGTGGGTGTCCTCATGCAAATGTAATTTCAATTGAAATTACAGAATTCGCACTATTTATACAATTATTGTTGATGTAATATTATTGTGACCAGTCAGTTAAACTACAAGTCACTCGGTTATAATTCTTCACAAAGTGTAGAAAAATGGATTTTGCTTTATTTAAATTATGGTAATTATTTTTAAATGTAAGTGTGTGTACAAATCCATGTGTACATGCATAGTTGCAGAGATTATTATAGCAAATGGGTCAACAGGGCATTATCCAAACAAATACTGTTCTTAGCGGAGGGCATTTTCTGCCTTCCAACACTTAAAATGTCAAAAGTAATTTATTTTTTTAAATTTGTTAGGGCTGTGCAAAATTTTTCAAAGAAGTATTTGGCAACAAGCAAGAATCTATTTTGTAATAATTAAAGCAAGAGGTTTTGTTTTTTGTTTTTAGCAAGGCTCATGAGTTGCTTCAGAAGCGGGTTCTGGCTGTCTTCCATTCATAGTAATTCTTTTTGTCCTCTAGGTACAAATGCAGATAATTCTGGTCTCTCAGTGTAATACATTTTAGCCAAGTACAGATGAAGACTATCCGGGGTGTCAAAGTCACAGCCCGCAGGCCGGATGCATCATGCGCTGGCCACGCCCACCCCTGGTTTACCAAAAGAGGAAAAAAGTCATGATACATCACATGACGATGATGTGACAACGCTAGTTTGACACCCCTGCTATAGGCAGTGGAAAATTTCTCTATGAAGGTTTTCATAGATGTCATATTTCATTTCATTTTTATGGGTTGGAATTGCATAAAGAATTTCCACAAATAGATGAAGATCTCTAGCTTTCAAAGCCAACTGTTTGCAACAACAGAACAATAGAATTATGTAGAGGAGGCCAGCATACTTGTTTTTCTCCTTTTGTTTACACAGACAACACACATTTAAACTACTTGTTGAAAGTGTATGACTCTTATTGATCTGGTCCATGTGGTGGAAAGAACTTGGTGTTCATATCCCATTAGTCTCTAATATGCCACAGCTCTTGTAAGATTTATGTGTCTATTTGTTCTCAAAACTGACAGGACAGGAGTAAGGCAATAATTTTTCCCTTATGGATTCTGGTAATTTTCTTTTTTTTTCCCTATGAGATCCTTCTTACGGATATAGCTTCCAAGATTGAGTATATTATTGCTAGAAAGAAGAGCAAAGAATGTAGATAGATATGTCAACATTTTTACTCCACAAATGTACATGATCTTTATATATTTCAGAGTAAGACAGGAGCTCTTGAAGGTCCAGAAGTTGATGGGTTTGTAAAAGACATGATGGAGCTTGTCAAGGTAACTTACTGTTATTATGTTTTCTGGCCGTTATTTTTTAACCAAAGTTGCTCGCAGTCCTAGATCAATTAATCCTCCTGTGAATGTTTCAATTCAACTGCTTAATGATTGAACAAAATAAGCTGCTTAGATTGTCTCTTTTATGGAAAGTGAAGAAGAGAAGAATGGGAAAATGTTATGCAACAGGAACTTTTGCATACATTACAGCTTGTCTTCTTCAAATTATCCATACTTCCTCAATTACTGCCCTTCCCCATCCTTCCTCCCAGACATAAATATTTGCTGGTAATGTGCTAACTGTGTATTTCAGTTCCACAGAATATATTTCTTCCAATCTTCCCCAATCTAATAACTTCCTTTATGCTGGATTACACCTGCCATTACCCTCAAAGATCAAGCAATTACCTATCTTTGCTAGGGATAATAGGAGTTAAAGTTCAAAACATCTGGAAGAGTCACAGTTCAAGAAGCCTGTTTCATGTTATATGTTTTTTAAAAAAAAATTAAATCTATCACCCCGGAGTACAACTCCATTATTTCTCATTATCGCAGCAAATGATACCGACTGGATATAACCTTGCTGGGCTAGGAGGCTAAATAGGGTCAAACCTTGCTTATACTTAAATAAGGGACTTTGAAGGAATAGTTGCAGGCTAAACTGGGAAATTAAGAAACAACATAGAAGAGGCAGAGGAAGGTTCTGGGATAGATTGTTGCCATGCCCACTGGTGTGTAATGCATCTAGGCAATGATGTGTTGTTCCCGTGTTGTGTTCAATTTTATGTTATTTTAATTTTTCTGTTGTATTGAGTTTAACTTAACTTAACTTAATCAACTCAAATAAATAAAGTAGGTGGGCTTAATGCTAAAAATGACTATTTTGTTCTCCAAAGTGTGCTTTTATCTCTTTCTTTCTTTCTTTCTCTCTCTCTCTCTCTCTCATTATTGCTACAGCCTAGCATTACTGGTACAGATCTGGATAAATTCCGAGAGATCCTGCTTCATCATTGTGATGTGAACAAGGATGGAAAAATTCAAAAATCTGAACTTGCGTTATGTTTGGGGATTAAAAGTACCCCATAGGCATTAATATGCTTTTTTCTATGATTTAACAGCTTTTTTTTTCGTTTGTGAAAACCTGTGAAAACATTTGTGAAATCTTTTTCAGTACTTTGTAATAATAATCTGCTACTTTAAACTTAGAAGATAGGCTCATGAAGATTAAGGATATTCAATTAGCAAGTATGTAGTCACAAGTATGTATTCAGATAGAAAATGTGATGAGTAGCAACTGGTTCTGTGTTGTTCAAAGGAGATATTACCTCTCATAGTCTTATACATTTTGGATCAATGAGAAAGTTCTGTGATTGCTGCAACAAGAAACGTTTCTGCTGTTTATTTTGCTTTTAATGTTTTAATTCCCTCGACTATGTCCTTCATCTACTGTTCCCTTTGTTTTGTCCCTTCCTACTTTCAAGTACAATAGAGGTAGTCCTCAACTTACAATTGTGATAGAGCCTGCCCATTATGGTCGTAAGTTGCAACATTAATAAAGTGGGTTATCATGTGACCAACCCAATTTTACAACTTTTTTGCAGCAGTCGCTAAGCAAATGTGAACCCATTGTTGCTATGGGATATTTTTGCCAAAACACACAAATAAATACCAATTTTCAGCAAAAACATCATAAATCATGGTCATGTGACGGTGAGACACTACAAGCAGCCATAAATGCAATGACCCAAAATGTGGTCACTTGGTTGTGGGAGAAGGCAGCTGTCAAAACTTTGGAACTATGTCATAATTTCTAATGATCGCCAAGTGACCAGTTATAAGCTGAGGATGACCTGTATGGCCTTTGAAACTGACACTGTTTTTTTTTTTGTAAGAACATTTACAGAAAAATAAAGCACAACAGTTGATAACACAGAGTACAACTGGAATGTATATTATTGATTATGTATCCATAAGTTCCTGGGTATATTATGTGTGAAAATCTTTGTCTTTTTCATGCCCTATCTCCAAAGGCAGGAGATTACATAGCTGGGAATTGTGAAGGTCTGTTGGGAAGCAACAATGAAAAGTATTGCTTCATAAATATTTATTTTTAAAAACTATTTCATTTCCCTACCATTAAAAGAATTCCAAAGTTTGCTCTGGTTTATAACATATATAAAAGTAAATAAAAATAGCTAAAATGCTCCTTCGCAATGGTCTCACTTCCATTTTTTAAAATTCTGCTTTCCTGATAAATTGGTGTTGTAGAATGTTTTATTTACATGCTAGCAAATTTAGAAGATCAAAATGAACTGCTAATAGAGAGAAGGAGGTGGAATATTTTTATTTAATGTGCACTTATACCTAAGCAAAATTATACAAGGAAAAACAAAAGTCATAACACAGTTTTAACCAATATCAGCAATGTATTTAAAAATCAGATTAAAAAAAATATCTCCCAGGCTGTCATCATTTAAATTCACACCAAGTTATTGCCACTGAAAAGTTCTCCCTAAGTTATAAAGGTCCTGAAAAAAGGAACAAATTAATTTCCTCTTTAAACCTAAGCAGCTGGAAATGAGGAGAGGCATGTGCTGAACTTAACTGAGATACCAAATGCTCATAACACCAGGAAAAATGGGAAAAACCTAACAGTACGTTGTGCCTATATTTCATACTCTGGTTTGTTGTTCCTTTCCTATAACTAGCCAGCTGTACCTCTTTTTCTTTCTTCTAGGAGCCTTTCGCTGTCAGCCAAACATACCGGCTATAATTTTTTTTTTAAAAAAAACACCTCAGTATTGTTTGCTTAACTACTTAATGGAACAAAATATGCTCCATTTTCTTTTGATAATGAGCTTTGTTTATACTTCTTGAGCAGCAGCAATGCCAACTAGAGAACCATAGTCAGAAAAAATTGAAATGCTGGACTAGATTTACCAACACTGGTGCACATCCCATCTGTGCCAGTCCCTGATGTTCATTGGTATAGATTTCTTTCTTGCATTAAAAACGTTATTGTATCTCAGGATAGTCATTCCATTATTTTCTCCCTTTTTGTTTATAACTACCGTGTTTCCCCAAAAATAAGACAGGGTCTTATTTTCTTTTTACCCCCGAAATAAGTGCTTGGCCTTATTTTCAGGAAGGTATTATTTTTTTTGAGGTGCAGGAGGAGCAAGCTCACCATACCTGAATGTGCGGGGTGGGGGCACAGAGCTGCAACCATCAGAGCTGTTGAGTCCAATGACAAGCAAGGCTGCGGCGGTGGTGGGACATGTAAGGACAGCACCGGCCAGCTGCTCGTCAGCAGGCAGCTCTCCTGGCTGAGTCTGGCTATGAGCGACACCAGCAGGCAATGAGATGCGCAGCCGGTGCAAAGAACAGGGAGGAGGCGGCAACGGGACTTCTGGCAGCAGTGCAAAACAGCCACTCGTCAGCTGTTTGCCCCTGCAGTCATGCACACACTTCCAGCCATTCTTCCCAGGACTCTGCACCATTCCGTTGGCCTGGCCACACCGCTGGGTTTGCTAGCGTTTGTGGGAGTGGCCTCCATGAGGCCGTTCCGCATAGATGGGAGGTGCATGTGGGACATGTGGGACATGTTCCCCCCCTCTTCCCCCCTTAAATTGTTGGGGAACGGCTGCTTCAAAGGCCTTATTTTCAGGGGAGGGCTTATTTTAGTGCATGCACTCAAAAGCCTGATTGGGCTTATTATCCGGAGAGGTCTTACATTTGGGGAAACACAGATATGCTATTAATACACTTAACTATGGGCATCTTTCGCCATCAAAGCTGACACCAGACACAGCATAGAAAAAGTCAAAGAAGTAGTGCAAGATCGGAAGACGTGGAGAGACCTGGCCCACAGAATCTCCAAGTCAGACACAATCACCATGGGCACCTTTAACATGTGGTTCTATGACATAATTTTTATAAATAGACTAGTTCCATGTGCAGAACCCAAGATCTTGACGTTTGATATACAGTATGTGCTGGCTAAGAATCATAATACATGACTTTAACATAGTGACGAAATGCCTGCTTCCTTGCATTGCTTAGAACAGGTCAGGGGTGTCAAACTCGATTTCATTGAGGGCCGCATCAGGGTTGTGTTTGACCTTTGGGGGACCGGGGTGGGCATGGCCATAGTGGTCATGGCCAGCTCAATGTCACTCATGTCGGGGATGCCTGTGGTGGCCTGAGCACTCTGCCAGCAAAAACAGGCTCCCAGGCTCCGTTTTTGGCTGTGACAGCCTCCTGCAACCCTCTGCCAACAAAAACGGAGCTCAGGAGGGCCTCACACGGCCCTCCCGCGCTCTGTTTTCGCTGGCAGAGGCATAGTGGGCCAGTCAGTTGCTGTTTCCAGGGTGGCCCTGCAGGCCAGATCTAAGCACCCTGTGGGCCAAATCTGGGCCCCGGGCCTTGAGTTTGACATCCCTGGCTTAGAACAATATATCTTCAGAGGGTACTGTAAATGTAGGTAAATCTTATCCATGAATCAGACTTAATATTGAATGAACATAGAAGTCAGTCCAATTTCCAGTGGCAATTGGAAGCTGTTTTTTCCGGATCAACTTTGTGGCTGCCTCTAACTGACAGACCAAATTGGAATCGCTATTAGAACACCACTTTTAGAAAAGAGAACTTAACAATATTTTATAGGAAACAGTTCTGAATCATTTCTTAAGGCCGTTGGAAAAATTGCCACTAGTTTTAGACAATCAAGAACACCAAATTTCTGAAGGGGAAGGAGGGGGGGATGAGAAAGCACATTAAAAAATGCATTATCTTGGTTTCCTTGACAGCATGAATTTGCAATGCACAAAGGAAACTAGCAAGAAAATAGAATGCAAACAGCTTTTTAGGTTGATCAAATTTTTTGGAAAACATAACAGTAGTCCCTTCCTCCCTGTGATTTTATTTATCGGTTTCTCTCTATCTCCTTGCCCTGTTGCAGAGAAATAAAGGAGGTTTTTTCCCCCTATTTTTAAAATTGGACCACATTCCAACTTTCCATTCATTTTTGTACTGCTTTCAGATTTGCTAATCAAGCAAGCTTTTGCAGCAACGTTGCTACCAGTTACAAAACTCAGCCAAAGCAAACTGGAATCCTGTTCTGGCGTTTTCCCTGAACCCATCATGGCACATTTTTATATTCTTCACAATCTGCCATCAGCTGCAGGTGTAATGCAACTATTCCAGAAACAACACTGGGATTGTGCTAGTCATGCTGGCATAGAGGATCTTTTCTCCAGGTGTTGATTAACTCATACATCTCATTTCTGTAAGCCATATAGAGCAGCTCATCCTCCAAATCCACAAGTAATGCATTCACAGTAGGAACTGCTGTTGGAATGGAGAAGGAGAGAGAGAGAGAGAAAAAAAGAACATTCCCATATCACATAGCCAAGAGTGAGAACAAATGGCAGCTTTCCAATTGTGGTTTATGGCTTAGTGTGATGCATAAACAGCATAGTGTGTCCAATTGTGGTTTATGGCTTAGTGTGATGCATAAACAGCATAGTGTGTCCAATTGTGGTTTATGGCTTAGTGTGATGTATAGACAGCAGGGATGCATTCAACAATGTACAATTGTGCACTTCCTAGTTTCACCTGGTGTTTAAACTAACACCATGAGAAAAAGACCGCGGAAGTCTTCAGAGTCTGTAAGATGTTCAGTTTTGTAAGGCATTAGGACTGGGATCTATTAACCAAAGTTTAAAGGGTTACTTTGACACTAGACAGAATGTTTTTCTGTACAAAATTTCCCATATTTTCCAAGACATATCAATTTTGACAATATTAGTATAATTTAGAGCAGGAGAGAAGTTACATTCCTGCTATTGCTAAATATTCATCAGTTAGAAATTCTTATTAGTCTCCTATAAACCATGCAGAAATCACTCAGAAATAAGTTAATAAGCTGACCACTCTGGTATAATTTGCAGTTTCTCTTTTTTTTTCCTGCTCTGTTATTTTCAATATTGGCAGTTACCGGACACAATATTGGACACGGTGGTGAGGAAGTATGCCTCCTTCAATGCCCAATGTATATATTTGTAAATAAGCATTACAAAAATATAGTAAGTTTACAGTGACTCTTCACTAAGGAACCTAAATCTGAGCCATGGCTGCAGTGGTGGGTTGCTACTGGTTCACCCTGGATCGAATGAACTGGTAGCTGTGGCAGCAGGAGGTTCCGGTCACCCGCTCAGATTCTTCTGCGCATGTGCAGAAGTGTTGCGTGCGAGCGCCCACGCGCCCACGAGCAAACCGTTAGCAATGGGTTTTGAAACCCGCCCCTGCATTGCTGACATTTGGGGGGCAAGCATAGAAGTATCTTATGGGTTAATACAACCAACTGAAGTCAATTTCTGCAAGAATGTTGAGCCATCAAAATCGAGTCATATATCACAAGCTAGCTCTTTCCCTTATTCATGTCTGCTAAAAAAAATTTTATAGATCATGCATTAGCCTTCACAATGTTGTTTTTGTTGTATTAATCTTGACCTACAAACTGAGCCACAGAAAAATTGATTTCATGCCAAATAGGTATTTCCCTCCTGTTTATTGCAAACTGAAGATATTGCAATCCCCGGAGAATCTCTTTTATACCTCAAAATTCCTCGAAGAGCCCCCAAGTGCATCAGTCAGTCTTTGAAGCAGCTAGAAGTACATTGACAATCTCATCCCTCTGAGAACTGGCAAAAAAAGCTGAGAGGCAACTGACTAGTTTCCATCTAATACGCCTTTCAGACTGCTATTCTAAATGCTGGGGATTTGTTCAAATATATAACATCTCCAGAAATTCAGACGCCTGATGTTTTTAAGCATCAAGGTCCTCTCTCAAGAGAGAGAATGCATATATTTTTAATGTTTGGGGAGCTGGGCTTTAGTTGCTGCTTGCAGGTTTTGTGTAAATCTTTTCTTGTTTTCAGTTTGTAGTGAGGTTTTGGCAGGAGGTGGGGCTGGTAGGCAGAAAACCACCACGTTTTGGCTGTGTTGTTTTTTTTTAAGTCGAACTGGATGAAAACAATCACAGTGCCATATGTGTATGTCATAAAGGTTTTATCTCCAGTCCTGATCTGTTGTGATTCCATTTATTTCACTGGAAACGGAATGATAAAGATGCACTCTTCCATCTAGGCATTTTAACATGCCTCCATTTTATTACCAATTGTTTACTGCCCTGATTCATTTCATGGAC